CAGAAAATTCTGGATTCAAGTCCTAGCCTATAGCTTACAAGTAACTTGTCCAGTTACTGAACAAGGCTGAGATTTTATTTCTTTATCTGTAAAATAAAGTAATAACTCTGACTCTACAGAGCTGTACAGAACATAGAATGAGCTAATGCATTTGAAAAGACTTAGCACAATGTATGACTATGCAGTCAAAATACACGAATTCATCTGTATCTCACAGCCTCCCCAAGCTAACTTCTGCCACTACCTAGCAGTCTGCTCATGTCACCACCATGGGGTGGGGGTGAGGTGGGGCAGGGCATAGAAAGTAAAAAAAAAGTAAGAGTACTTTGCTAGATAATGAAGCAGTGACAAATGTTTAAATACTCTGTCTGCCATGTTACAATTTCTATTTCTTTGAAACTAATTCCAATATGCTTAATCTTTACATTCTAACACGCCGTAAACACTGAAATAGAATACAAAAGACAAATTCCTTTGAATGTTAACTTTTTCTGACTGATTCTTATAATCTTAGCTGGTCTCCAGTCTTTTCCTATGAAAAATTATTAGCATTCAAGGAACTAGAAGAAAAGTATTGTGAGGATGGAATGCTGAAAATAAAAAGGATTTAATGAGTAGCAGCCAAAAAATATACAGATGAACTTCATTCTGCATTCCTAATTTTGTATTGTTGCAAAGACTCTAACAAGCACATTAATTTTATTTGTCCTAAGTTTTCTGTTGCTACACATTTAAGTTGAAAAAATTAATTCAATGAGTCTGCATTTTCTTTTTTAGGTGAGGGCTTGCTTCCTTGTAATTGTTATGAAGCCAAATAATCTTCTAGAACCTCTTTTACTTTCCCAAAAGAAATATAAACTTTGAGTGGAATGACAGTACTAATTTACTTCTGGAAAGTATTAAACACATACACACACACACATACACACACACACACACACACACGGGGCTAAAGATGAATTTTCAATGTAAGAAGAATAGTAAACAATAAAAAGTTTTCCTACCTATCCCTATGGTGAGATTTTGAAATGTCAGACATATAACAAGTGAACCGTGTCATTATGTGGAGGCTTAAAGAAAATGAGTGTGAATTGAAAAGATGCAAATACAAGCATGCAAATGTAAAACTTCAAACCTTTTATGTAGGATTGTATACTTCTCCGATTCTCACAGTATTTTGAGGAGTTTGGTAATAT